TGGTAGCTACCTCCCCTCTGAAAAGTCTAAAGCAGGAGTATTGCTAAATAAGGCAGTGAGTGCACGGACAAAGAACACAAATTCAGAGAATTGTGAAATTCCTTGGTACTCCTCTACCAATTACTGTGCTCTAGGGCAGGAATGTTTCTCTGTCCGGAATAATCTCTTCACCTTTCCTGCATAGCAGTAGTTATGATGGCAGACACCCGCCTACCATTCTCCTTCCCAGTCTTACTAGCAGCATGAGATGTGCTGTGTCCTTCTCTCAGCTGTAACTCATTTCATTTTGGTGCCATGGAGAGCTGATGAAGAACAGGCCTCAACAGATTCTGTGTTCGGCACTTGACTATGCCCAGGGCCAGTCCAGCTCCAAACTACTCCCAGATATGCAGAAGGAGCTTCTCTGCCCCAGTCAGCTTTGCAGTGCCAGGGAAATGACTCCCGTATCTAGCCTGATACACATAAGCAAAGTTGACAGGTTTATGCGCCACACATCACCAATGAGTCCATCATACATCATGTGTTTTTTCTCTCTCACCTTTTGAGTCGTGCAGGCTCCATGGTTTGTGCTCCAGCATTACTGCACACTGGCCTCACTTGTCCTTTTCAGTTTTTGAGAGGTCTAATAATAAGATCCTGTACATTTACACATCTCTCTGAGGAGCTTGCTGGTAGGCACCCTAAAGTCAGAAAGCAGCATAAGATACATTCTTATGGACAAGAGCACACATTTTCCTCAGTCTATTTATCCCTTTTTGCACACACAAAAAAAGTCCTCCTTTCACCTTAATAAATAGAAGAATTAATTAAAGCTGCTTTTGGAGCACCCTGACTATTCCTTTTATATAACCACCAAAAGGAAATGTGAACAGGATTGACCATATCATTTGTCTTTGTGATAGAAATGCAAAGTCACAGATTTGTAGTGAGTTATGTGCACATCATAATAAAAGGGCAGCAAGAAGCCCTTTTCCAGCCAGTGCAATTTATTTACCTCTTTTCAAAATCAGCTCCTTATTGTGTGCCTACAAATCTGCATGCTCTGAATATGCATTCAGAGGGAGAGAAAACAGGATAACTTTGAAAGGCTATTACGTGGGAAATTGAAAAAAGTCCTTTATAATTACTTAGAAGTTCTGTGAAATTAGACAGTATATTTTTATGCATTTCAATCAAGACTAAAAATGCACTCAGCTGATGGCCATAGAAATAGAAAACAAGCATATGATTATAGTACAATGAATGTTTGCTGCGTGTTTGTAACAATATTACTATAACATTCCAGTGCATTTCAGTCGTCCTCCAGCTAATTGTCGCTGCCTTATTGATCTACGAAGGGTCAACGAATATAGAATATGATGATCCTGAGTGCAGACTTAGTGACAGGTGAGCAACAGTCAAGGGGCACATAGAGCCCTTGATCCACATATGCAGTGATACGAGTTCTTCAGGTGGAACATGGGTTGGATATGAGGTGAAGGGAAGTGAGACAGTTGAGCTTGGGATGCTAACGATCTGGGTTCAGTTCCCTATTCTGCCACAGACTTCATGTGTGACCTTGGGCAACTCAACTAGTCTCTCGGGTCCTTTGTTCCCCAGCTCTTTGGGGATGAGCACTGTCCAACAGGCTGTGAGATTAAATACATTAAAATTGTGACATGCTCAGAAACTACAGCAATGAGGACTACATAAGTACCTAAGATAGATGTCAATTCATTAAAGACACCGCTGAGTAGTTTGGGCCCAAAACTTGACCTGCCTGTAATGTTAGTGTTGCAGATCATCTGATAGAGTCTAAATGTATATTTAAAATAAATAAATAATCCATTCTTCTTCTATGGGGAAATTCAGAAATAATCACCCAACCTTTTCAGTTACGTGACCTGAGCAATCCCACCTCCTCTGCCCCAGCATCCAGACATCAGGAGTTCCAGCTGGACATGCCACATTGGTTTGCCTCACAGCCTTGCTGCAGCCCATGGCTTCAGCATTCCTAAATGTCTCTGTGATTCAAGGCCCCCACTTGATTCCACTGAAAATCAATAACAAAATTCCTGTAGACTTGAACAGGAGCTGGCTTCGGCTCTAAGGCCTCTTCCTGCAAAGGGAATGAAGTGCAGCTTCCTTCGCAGGACTCGGGGCCTTAATCATTGACCTAATCATTAAACATGGGTTTAAAAAGTCAGTGTTAGCTACATGGATAAGGAGGAAATAGACTGTGCGAAAAATTGTTCTCTATGTTCTAGAGAGTCTTATCAAAGAATAAAAAGCAAGACACAATAATTTTTAAGCTGACATGCTAGCATCTCTTTAAGATGTGCCAAACCATAACCAACTGGTACATAAGGGATGAATCACAGTGATGTCCAGCTGGGTAAACAACAGACTCATTGCTCTTCATGCTGCTCTCACAGTTATGATTTTCTTTCCTCTCTGTAAAGTCTTAAGTACCCAATCTGACTTGGTTTAAATTTCCAACCATTATGTTTAATAGTTTGTACAGTGCCAGAGATTTACATGGTACTTTGCCCATGTACACTAAGACACTGTCCCTGCTCCAAAGAATTTACAGCTAAGGACACACAAAGATCAGAAATGAGACATCAGTTCAAAGGAAGGAACAGAGAAATTGTTGCTGAGGATAAAGTGACATGGAAGAAGTGGATCTTAAGGTTGCATTCAGAGGAGATGGATATGGAAAGAAAGTGGGAGACTGTGTCATCCACTGAGGTGTGAAGGTGTGAAGCCAAGAAGGGAGGTGAAGGGAACAGTAAGGAGCGGGGATGGGCAGAGAACATGAAATGGACCAGAAGGAGATGAGATTTTGTATAGCCATAAAAGTGGGGACAAAGAGCTTGAATTTTACACAGTAGCAGAGGGGATCTGAGGAGAGGTTGCGTGGTTGGAAGGCCTGAAAGGTTTTAGCAGTAGTGTTTTTTTCATATAAAGGAGAAGGGAAGAAGCAAGAAGGACATAGAGGAAAAGGTTACAATAGTCAAAACAAGAAATGGCCATAGCATGTACAGGGGCTTTAGCTGAGTAGATAGTTAGGAAGGGTGGGTTTGGGGTTTAAAGAGAAAGATGCACTCAGGTTTATTAAGAGAAGTGGAGTTGTCAATGGGGATAGAGAAGAAACTAGTGGAGAGGATTTAGGAGGAAAGACAAGGAGTTCAGTTTCAGAGGTAATGAGTTTGTTATGACAGCTAGACACCCAAAAGAGGCAGCTAGATCTACAAGATAGAGGAAGGGAGAAAAACATCTTCCTGTTCCTGGGAAAGAGGAAGTATTTCTGGGTCTGTACATAGATCACCAGTGCACTGTATGCAACTTCGTAAGGTGATGAGCACAAGAGAGCTAGTGTAGACTGATCATTGGAAGAACTCCTAGAGTTGGTTGTTCCCAGTTCTTGTGATGCCACAAGCCTGAATATTTCTGGTACATCCTGTTGCAGCGCTTCTCAAACGGGGGGTCTGCAGACCCCTGGAGGTCCCGAAGCATACTCCAGGGGGTCTGCAGGCCCTGTGAGAAACTCCTCCTGCTCCCAGCACACTGGGGAACAGGCTTCCTACCTGCCCTGGCTCCGCGCCACTCCCAGAAACAGCCGGCAAGTCCTTACAGCCCCGGGGAGTGGGGGCAGGGGGTCTCCACGCCCTGCCTCTGCCCTGAGCAGTGACTTCGCAGCTCTCATTGGCCAGGAACTGCACCCAATGGGAGCTGCAGGGGTGGTGCCTGCAGACAGGGGCACCATGCAGAGACATCCTGTTCCACCCCCCCACCCCCCACGCCTCCCGCCTAGGAGCCACTGCCAGAGGGATGTGCCGGTCGCTTTGGGAGCCACCCGAGGTAAGCGCCATCTCCCTCACCCCTTTCTGCACCCTAAATTCCTGCTCCAGCCCAAAGCCCACACCCAAACTCCCTCTGAGAGTCCGCACCCAAACTTTCTCCCAGAGCCCGCACCCCTCAACCCCTCCTGCACTCAAACTCCCCCACAGAGCCCGCACCCCCTTCCGTACCCAATCTCCCTCCCAGAGCACACACCCTGCACCCCTTCCTGCACCCAAACCCCCTCCCAGAGCATGCACTCCCTCAAGCACCCCAACCCCCTGCCCCAGCCTGATGGAAGTGGGGGAGGGGAGCCGGGGCTTTAGAGAAGGGGCAGGGGCGTGCCCTCAGGGAACAGGCGGAGCAAGAGCTAAGCAGGGGGCCTTGGGGGTCCCTGAAAATTTTTAAATCAAAGTGGGGTTCCTTGGGTTGCTCAAGTTTGAAAACCAGTGTCCTATTGTATTATGCTGCACACCATTTTACACAGTGTTGGCTGGGAGGCTGTTTCACAGCCAATATAAGCAAATGTCGGATAGACTTCAGAACAAAAATCTGTGTAAAATTTAATAATGTACATAGAAACAATCAGGTATCATCACACTACCAAATTCAATCCCCATCAAATTTTAACAGTAATAGGAAAAGGGTGTGTGTTATGCAATAATGGAATTATAAAAAACCCATAATCATAGACTCACGTGGAGTCACCAGGGGCTGTTTGGATTATGCTTTCTATAGTGGGGATGATAAAATGTGGGTCTGAATTTATGAAAATATTGTGCAATTCAGTTATCAGCTAGAATTTGTGGTTTTGATTTAACTGGGAATTTATCTAAACAGCTCCATCTATTTATATCAAAAGTGTTGTATCAATAAATATTGTAGTAAACAGTTGGTTAATATTAATAACAATATTGTCACCTAGTAAGAGAGTGAGACAAATCACATACTGTTGTTTTGAAAAACACAAGCCCCTTCAAAATGGCTCTCTCATTTCAGGAAAAAAAATCATACACACCTCCATTCAACTGTCAAGTGTTCTGTATCGTAATGTACTGCAGTCACAGGGCAAAAACATTCTTTCCCCGTTTCTCAACACTGGCACAAGTCAGATACTGAAATGATGATAATTCATGACTACAACCAGCCTGCTTTTGGTTTATTTTCACTGTCTGGTATTTAACTGAATTTACAGAAGTCTGATGAATCTAACTAATCATTAAAATGTGTAATAACAATAACAAAAATGCATGGTTTGAGTGATGATGAAGAAAAATAAGTTGAATTTCTAACTCACAGTGAAGCAGTTGTGAATAATCTGGTTAGACAGTTTTAGCAATTCGTCATTTATTCATTAACTTATACTGTAACATTCTCTTTACTTATTTTTTAGCATAATGGCAAAGTACAAATGCACAGAACGCAAGCATAATGCTATCTAAAAGGTAGCTTTAGGACAGATGGTATCCTAGATTTGTAAGAAGGCCTTTCTATAATTAACAGTTGGACTCATTACATCAAAAAACATTCACTCATGTAGTGTGCTTTTGCATATTATCAGTAATATACTAAAACCCATCAATTACATTGCTGTATTTGTAAAAACACAGAGATCTGACATATTTAAAGAGTAAAATACAAGTCATTAGGTGCAATTTTAATTTAACAAGTCTAATTTTATAAATGAGTGAATTTTTCCAAGGCTATCATTTCTAATTATGCATTTACATAAATTCATGATACGTGACTGATGAAATATAATACCAAAGGCAATTTTCTGTCTGTGTGGAGCACTGAGGAAAAACTTTGTTCACAGTACAATTTAATAACATATGAAATTATAATCCCAGCACTTGTTCAATGTGTTTGTAAGTGGATCAGTGTCAAAAGTGCAGCTCTTTTTACCCACTGAAACCGCCAGCTAAGTGCAGTCAGGTGAACGTTTTGGTCTCATCTTAACTTCAGCCATGAGACAACAGTTTGGAAAATCATCAGCTGTTACATAAGAAAAGGTCAAGAATAAAAGCGCCGAAAAGCCTGAATTCATTGTTGCTGAATGTGAAGGTCAATCCAAGTGCAGCCAAAAACAAAAAAAGCTTTGGGGAAAAAAAGAAATAAGAATTATTTTTTTAAGGTAGAGATATTTAGGGGTGTGGGGGGAAATCTATCCACTTTGGTAATACTCTATGGACTGCATTCTGCTTTCATTAAAATTAAGAGGTGGATCAGACCCTCCAGGGATACTACGCAGTACTAGGGTCACAATTCCACAATACTCACAAGAGGAAAACTAGCTGAAGTAAACCACAGGCTACTACTTTGCGTCTTTCACACTGCACCATTACATGCACTGCCTTCTTTGGATTGCTGTCTTCTGATTGTTGCCCAGGATGTTTTAAACTACCCCTAGCAGCGCCAGAATTTGCCCAAAAGTGAACTGCTGTTGGGCTCCCACTTAATACGATATTGTTTTTCCCCCATGAACACCAGTGGGGCAGCTGAGGCTACACTGGTTCCAGGCAGTTGCTGAGCCTGCTTGGTAACTAGCAATAACTACAGCTGGTTTAAATTTTCCAGACAATTTTTCTTCTTGAGAAATTGCCCTTTTTTCTAAAATGAACACATTTCACATAAAACGGTTGACTTTTCTCATCATTTTTCATTGTTTCTTGCAGTGTTTTTTAAATCAAAATTATACTAATTTTTTACTGAAAAGTTTTTAATCACCATTTTTTGTTTGCTAAGAAACCCGCATTGTGATAAACAAAAAAAAGTCAAACAGGTTCAATCTGGAAAAGAATGGGGCAACATTTGCCTCCCCACCACCACCAGAAAAAACCCCCATGAAATCCTGCAAAATGAAAACAAGTTCAAAATTATGGTTTTATTATTATTACTGTTATTAACAACATGCTTTACCACCATTCTCTCTTCTGGGTAACTCTGAGTGCTTATAGGTGTGTTCCCAGCTCTGTTCTCTGCTCATATGCAAAAACACAGATGACTCCAACATATCCCTTTTTCTCCCCACTGCTGCTCTCCCTTTATTAGACTTAAACAAGCAAACAAAAACCACTGTAGGTAAGATAGGGAGGGTTATGCATGGCAAGGCTGAGATTTCAAAGCCAGCTAGGGGATTTAGTCACTCTGAAATGAATGGGAGTTGTGTGGCTAAATCCCCTAGTTGATTTGAAAATCTCTACCACAGAGTTGACATCAATAGTACAGTGTGCAGTTCAGCAAGAAAATATTCTAGGGCCCTGTAACAGGGTGTACAGACTCAGGAGCTAACTCAGCGCCCTGTCACTCAAATCCCCATCAATTTATATCAATTGGGCACTGACTGAAAGACAGGCAGTTGGCAGAGGAGGCCAATTAACTGAGTGGAGATACAGCTGAGGGGCTGATCGGGTGGAAGTGTTGCCAGCAGCTGGAGCTATAGAAGCAAACAGGAAGCAGTGGTGCTGGAACAATGTTATAGGGGGGGTGCTGATGATGGAAATCCTGTATTTGGGGTTTGTTGTTATGACTTCAAGCCAGGGGGAGCAGCAGCACCCCTAGTACTCCAAGTTCCTGCACTATAGCCAGGAAGGAAGTGCTGGGAGGAGAGTTGGGAGCCTGAAGCGAGGCAAAAGTAAGCTGGACTAGCTGTTGTGATTGTACCCTTCCCTAGCAGTAAGGGGAGTAGCTGGCTCTTGACTATCGTATATAATAAAGCCTGGTGGTGGTCTGTGGTTAAGACCTGAAAGGACTCTCAGGGGACCACCCTGTGACAGGTCCTATCATGCTTTGTCCAGAGCACAGGTTGGGGTGGAAGGGGAATTTAGAGGGCAGTTCCTAGAGGCACAGTCTAGCAGACTGCCTCACGTGGGGCAGGATGAAGTGCTCTCCAGTTATTCCACCTTCTTGCTGGTGATGTAGCACCCTTGTGCTGTCCACGACCCAGTGCTGAAAAAGAAAAGACCATGCCACACCTTGGCCCTGTGAGCTATTGATGGCCCCAACTGTGCCCATCCTTTGAAGTACAAGGAATGATTCTATTGCTGCTCCCTGTGCAGGCAAGCAAAGACCCATGTGATGCCTCACCCCATTTGCAATAGCCACATCTGGCTAGTCCAAGGCCTAAAGCCCAGTTAAAAGGGGCCTTGTCACTACTATGCAATACAGATAGTTAATCAGAAAAGTGCCACATAGTTAAGGCTTAGATTTAGTCATGGGTATTTTTAGTAAAATTCATGGACAGGTCACGGGCAATAAACAAAAATTCACAGCCCTGTGACCTGTCCCTGACTTCTACTGTATACCCTGGCTAAATCTTGGGTGTTCTGCAGGGACACCACTCCGGGGCACCCATTAGTGCTCTGGGGAGAGGGGCACCGCTCCAGGGCACCCGCTGGGGCTTGGGGATGGGAGCCCAGAACAGCATGGGTCTGCTGCCACTGTTGCTGCGGGTGCGGGGCAGCCTGGGACCACTACTGCTGCTGGGGGGGCCAGTGCAGCTGGCCCCAGGGCCACCCAAGCTGCCAGGCAGCCCTGGGGTCAGGCACCCCAGCAGGCTACAGAAGTCACAGAGGTCATGAAGAGTCATGGAATTCGTGACTTACATGACCTCCGTGATAGACTCTCAGTCTTACACATAATCTTTCACTAATAGAAATATTCTAAGGCATAATATACCGAGCTTCCACAGAAACTGGTAGAAGGTCAATGCGCTGAGTACAGAACTTGAATGCATCCGCAGCTGTAACACAAATATTCATTTTAGTCAGAAATCTCTGATCAATGTTCTATTTTGATTTCTTCTTGTAGAGTTCACCTGCTGAATAACATTGACTAGGTTCAGGTTTCAGAGTGGTAGCTGTGTTAGTCTGTATCAGCAAAAATAACAAGGAGTCCTTGTGGCACCTTAGAGACAGGGTAGAAAATACTGATCACAGACAAACCTGGACAGTCCAGTTAAGTGCAAGAAACTTCTCGAACATATGGAAAGAAGAATTAATTGAAAACCAGATGATACATTTTCTATCTGTCTAATCTGAAAGCTCCCCTCGATACTGTAATATCTAGTCAATTGTTGAAGCACAAATCTCCTAGTTGAAACATATTGGTTATAGTTGAAGTTTTGGCGATTCCAATTTTTGTATGCTGAAAGCATCAAGAAAGTCAGGCCAGAAAACATCTGTCAGAAGCTAACCAACTGATTTTTTTCCCATCTTGTTTTCATATTAATGCTGATGGGGGAAAGCTGCCATTTCCCCAAATAGGGGCACATGACTGTGACCCCCCCCTTCAACTTATGTCTCTTCTTTGTTCCTGTTAGTGTCTTGCCAGCTGTTCACCTGGCCTAGTCTGATGGCAAAATACCTCACTAGGAGAGGACATCTCTACTTATGCCCTTTGACCAAGACTGACTGAGTTGTTTAAGTCCCATAAAAGCTTTATCCTTCAGCATCTCTCCTTCGAGGTTGCAGGGGTCTTTTCTCCTTTGGAAGGAGCAACTAGACAACCAAAGAATTCCTTCAAATGAGGTTTATTAAAAACATAAAAACCCGATTTAAAATTAAAGAAAGTTTGCTTTTCATGACTAGATTTAAGATAAGGCATTCTCAGTTTAGTTACAGAAAGAAAGAGAGAACATTACCTCTTCAAAGAGCAGGTCCTGCTGACCTCTCCTGCCTTGTGTCTGGGGTCCTTGTGTCTCCTGCCAGAGTTCTAGTCCAGAGACAGAGAAACCCCTCTTTTACTAAGAGCTCTTTTATTATGTGGTTTAATATAGAGAATTGGTGAAGTCAGTTCCTAGCAAAAGATAACACAAAATATGAACTGGAAACTTAAAATAAAATTAAGTATTCTCAGATATGGGCCAGCCCATATGTGGTTTGCCTAACCGTCCTTTTGCGCCTAATGTCATTTATGGTATATGTAAAATCTGCATAACTTTCTGGTTGTGCCTGAAACTTCTTTTTCCTTAGTCTTTCTCCTTTCCTTTACCAATTAACATTCAGACTGAGAAGTGGGACTACTGCATGTTTTCTTACTGCACTGCTCCAAGGAAGCCACCAGCTATGACTGGAGCTATATCAGTTAATCAAACTCCCTCCAGCCTTAACAGTAGCTTCTTCTCTTGCCATCTCACTCACCCCCTTGAGATATTACAAGAACAACATCTCTAATTAACACATCATGAACCAAATACTCAGCTGTGAGGTTTGTTGCACATTCAAATCCCAATGTAGCTAGCGGTTACAATAAGCTGCACTCATTCACATTATTAACTCCCCCTCCTCTGCACCACTCAAATTTGCATTTATGAAGGTATTTACAACATAGAATCTAACCAAACATTTAAAGAACAATAAACAATGCAACAATAAACATTGTAGAGAGCTACTCTGCTTTAACACTGAAAAATTTATAACAAAATACTTCAACTGTGGTTTGGAAAACAAAGACAAACATGTGACAGGTTTCCCCCCGGGGTCCCACCTGAAACTGGGGTACCACTGAGCCCTCTGACCCACCAGCCTGGGATCCCTCTCGCACTGTGCTGCTGTGACAAGCTGCAGACCCATTCCCAGTCTTACACTTCCTCAGCATACACACAGGTAGGGACACACCAGCTGCAGTTACATGCAGGCTCTCTGATCAGCTGCTGCATGAACCAACAATAGAGAGGCTACAGACAAAATAACACTAGCTTCCCAGCCTAGGACCCTCCCCATGGAGTATAAACCCAAAATTATACCATCTTTCACTGCCCAGGGAACTGTACAGCATAAGCTCATAGAGTTCACCTTTCCTTCAATGTGGAGAGGAAATGCAACAGCACCCCAAGGTGAGGCTCCCAAGAACTTCACTCCAAACTTACTGGTTTAGATTAAAATAAAAAAATAAGTTTATTAATTGCAAAAAGATAGATTTTAAGTAATTATAAGTGATAGCAGACAGATCAAAGCAGATTTCCTGGTAAATAAAAATGCAAACTAAGCTTAACATACTAGAAAGATAGGATTTGAATTAGCAGTTTCTCACCTTGAGAGATGGTGCAAGCAGGCTGCAGATTTTAAGGGACAAGCTGCACTGGCTTTCCAGCTTGGAATCCCCAGGTCTTTCATCCACAGACTAGAAATCCCTTTAGCCTGGGTCCAGCACTTCCCCCAGTTCAGTCTTTGTTCCTCAGGTGTTTCCAGGAGTTTTCTTGTGTGAGGGGTGAAGAACAGCAGATGATGTCATTCCCTGCCTTATATAGCTTTAGCATATGGCGGGAATCCTTTGGTCCCAAACCCAGTTTGTGGGAAAACACTGATATCCCAAGATGGAGTCCAGCGTCATGTGGCCTGGTCACAGGCCCTGGCATACCTGGCTGAGTCGTAGCAGTCATTACTTATAGGCTGTCTGGAACCTTTACAAGAAGGCTCACCAGGTGATGGATAAGCTTCTCCTAAGACCTATTGTTTTCCCTAATGGCTCATTACCCTGAATAGGCCCTTCCCCACCCACTATCTAGCCTGACAATATCTTGCCTAGTGGGCGTCACACAGATGTACATTTGAAATACAGATACATAGTCAATATTCATAACTTGAGATACAAAAATGATACATGCATACAAATAGGATAATCATATTCAGCAAATCATAACTTTTCTGATGACACCTTACATGACCCATCTTGCATAAAATGCATCATAATTATGCTCTAATCATATAATAATATCACTGTGAAGAATATGGGCTGCAGTATCACAAATCTGACAGACCCTGGCAACGTGACCACAAGCCATAGTAGCAGGGGTAGCGGTATGTGCTTGGATAACGAGTATACAAGAAATGCTGCTGTCACAGGACAAGACATCATGCTGACTCAGCTCGTTATTTACCATTCCTTTCTGCAGGAGCAATGTTCTCACTGCTACTAGGCCAGTTTGCATTGGCTAGATAGCAACATGGGCACTAAACAGGATTTTCGGCAAACTGCTTCTGTTTTACCCCCTCAAACAGCATCCTTTGTAGTCATTGTGAATATTGTATCTGAGGGACAGATCAGTCCTCGTGCCCCAGGTCTGGATATTTTCTGCATACCCACCACAAGCATGTCTTTGCCCTTTGGATACTTGTTAGTATCCAAAGGGCAAACTTGGATACATCTCAAGTTTGAACATGGAGACCTATCTTCCAGGTCTCCAGTTTTATAATCAAGGTATTGTTATCTATTCTGGACTCCCTGTAACTCTCTGATGTTATAGCCCTTAACATGAAGCAGAGTGTATGTGGTGGGGTGTCTGGGTTTGTGACCATTTTCTGTTTTTAGCAATGTATAAAGAAGGCCAGGGGGAGGAGGTTGGTAGGAGAGTGTGTTTTAAAAAGAGGTTGCTTATTTTTTTTAAACCTTAAAAATATCCAGTCTGTTCTCCCTGGTTTTGCTGCAGGTGTTCTTGGAGGACTCAGAGATATAGATTGGAAGCTGCCTCAGCCCTTGAATTAAGACGGTGAGTATTTAATAGTGACATATTGTCTTCTAATAGTTTATAGGGCATTCTGAGTTAACAAAAACAAACACTGAATTTTAAGTAATGAATAAAAATCACCTCTCCACCCCCCAGTTAATTGGAGGGTTTTTATACAGCTCCTCACCGCAGTGTGGCTTAAGCCTCCTCCCTGCTTCTTTCTACTTAGTGGCTTCTCTCCTCACGAGTTGGGTCCTGAGTTGTTTGTGATGCCTGGTGCCTCCCCACAAAGTGACTCCTCACTGGACCTAGCCCACAAGGGGTGTTGTCCCTTGGGAAAATGAATAATGCTACCACTGCTGGCAAGGACTATAAAACCCAGTACACAGGGAACAATATAGTCCATCAACATAAACCCCAGCACAGAAATGGCACACCCAAAAATAACAATAGAGCAAACAGGGACTTTACTGAGAGCAGAAAACAAGGCTCTGGGAACAGGTTAGGGGTAATTACTATCTCCCAACACTCACAACTCTTCCCAGCCCCCAGTGCCCTCCCTGGCACCTTCCCAGCTAGATGGTACACAGAGCATGAGGCTGGAAGCAAGTTCTGTGGAGCTGTGAATGCTGGCCCACTGAACAAACAAAGGGATCCTCTTTATGTCTTCACCCCAGGATGGGTCTCTGCTCTGGAGTCCTGTGGGGGTCTCAGCTGACCCTTGGTAGCTGGTGCCAGGTTAGATGGTTGGTGCCAGGTTGGATCCGCAGGGCTGGAAGGAACCGTCTGACCCTTGCACTAGATCCCACAGCAGTCCAAAGCCTCCTTTTGTGGGCGGGAAAGGTAATCAGATTCCCTGAGTTGTTCTGCTTCTCCCTCTGCTCGGACATTCAAAGCTACTCAAACCTGGAAGTAAAACTAGTTTCTTTGTCTCTGAATCAAGCTCTCCCCTCCATTGAGGGGCTGAGCAGCCCAGGCTCATCGCTGGCCCAGTAAACTGCCTGACCACATCATCCAATTGAGAAGCCTCCCAATTGGCCTCAGCAGGAGTCTCTAGTCCATTCTGCCAGCACCTGACTCCGAGCATGCTGGGAAATGGTGTCAGAGCACTCTTGTAGCCACCATTGCTGTTGTCCATAGGGTAGGATGCCCTAGAGCAGGGGCAGGCAAACTTTTTGGCCTGAGGGCCACATCAGGTTTCCAAAACTGTATGGAGGGCCGGTTAGGAGAGGTTGTGTCTCCCCAAACAGCCAGGGGTGGCCCGGCCCCCCCTCCTATGCAACCCCCCCACTTCTCGCCCCCTGATGGCTCCCCCGGGACTCCTGCCCCATCCACCACCCCCCACTCCCTGTCTCCTGACCACCCCTGGACCTCCCACCCCTGACTGCCCCCTGCCATACCATCCAACCCCCCCTCATTCCTGGCTGCCCCCGGGACCCCTGCCCCATCCAACCCCCCTGTTCCCTCCCCTCTGATTGCCCTGACCCCTATCCATACCCCCCCCAACCCCCCCTGATCACACCCCCAAACTCCCCTGCCCTCTATCCAACCCCCCTGCCCCCTTACCACGCTGCCTGGAGCACCGGTGGCTGCCGCCGCTACAGCTGCACTGCCCAGAGCAGCGGGTCAGGCCGCAGCTCTGCAACAGCAGCACGCTGAGGCTGTGGGGGAGGGACAGCGGGGGAGGGGCCGGGGATAGCCTTCCCCGGCCAGGAGCTCGGGGCAGGGCAGGGCAGGAGGGTCCCGTGGGCCGGATGTGGCCTGCAGGCCATAGTTTGCCCACCTCTGCTCTAGAGGCTCAGTCCATAATACAGGAGCTGGCAAACTCCAAGGGGAGGGGACGGTACATTTGGATGGTATGTGCGATGTTCCGGTAATTACACTAGTTCTCCCATCATCCATAGCATCTTCCTGGCAAAAAGAGAAGGCAGGACTTGAATTTCTAATGCATTTGGAGCAGGAACCATCTTTCTGTTCTCTTGGTACAGCACCTAGCACAAAGGGGTCCCAACAATAGTAATAAAACAAGCCAAACATTCGTTTTTGAAAAACAAAACAAAACGTACTTTTGTGCATCTTCACACATCAGAGAAAACAAACAAAAGGGGCACAAAATAAATTTGTTTTCAATTGCAGGTGACTTTTAAATTCTTGTAGAGACATTCTCCTCAAGCTGTGCAATTTTAGCAGTATTTTTCTCTAGCTTAGTGTTCAGTGGGACTACACATGGAGATCAAGAATTCAGTCATTAAGGATTTTCAGCGTCGATTGCCCATGGTCAACCTCCTCACAATCAAGTCCAAAAGAACAAAAGGAATGAACTTAATCCTTAAGTACCAATTTTATAAGATCTTCTAATGATAAAGAAACATAATAAATAACAATAACTTACTTTCTTCAGCATAACATGGCTACGTTATAATCCACATACATTATATTCACAGTTACACATACATAAACAAAGAAGACAAATTAAATTTAAACAGGTCAGTCCCCACAGGAACAGAGTGAGAAGTGAGTCAGAGTTCCTAGAGGCTTAGGTTGAGTTCATCTGCGTCTCCGTTACAGTCTTTGATCCCCAAAATCTATACAGTCTGCTGAGTCAAAAGCACTGCAGCTATGCTTCTCTCCTCTTGCTTGCAGAAACCTTCATCTGGAATCCATGCAGACTCTTCCTCCTCCTCCTCTGCTGAAATCGCTCAGTTAGCTAGTCCGCTAACAAATTAACCAACCACTCAGTTTAAGTGTACAGATTTAAAAAACTGCAGCAAAATGCTTCCGAATTAGGGGAAACAGCCTGCTTTTTCTCATCTGCTCCCAGCCCACCGAGGGCACGTGGCCATGAGTAAAGCAGCTGCACTGACTACTTGCCCTCATGGTTTCTGGGTCCAGCATCACGGAACGTGTGCAGTTTACCCAAAACTACCACACCCAATTGCAGAAACGTCTGGCTGTGAGTGCTAATTGTGCATCTGCCTAGCAACAGTGACCCAGCCACAACTCATGCCTATCACTCCCCCCCCCCCCATAGATCTCTTAAAGAGATATGTCCCTATTAGTTATATGGGTTCCAGTACCTCTTGCAGGCAATGTGTCCTGCAGTAGCATTAAAATCTGGCTGCCTCTATGCATTTAGCATATTTTTGCAAAGCATGATGCACTATAAGACACATTACTATTGCCTCATGATAAGCATATGTTGCCTTCTTCTTCCACAAGCTCTTAAAGTGTACATCTTCTCTTATAGCTTTAGATCTTACATTTATTAGCAAAAAGCAGGCAAGAAAGAGATGGAAATGAAAGCCAATAAAAAATACATTTACTGTATAAAGCAAAAATGTATCTCACCAAACTGCAGGAAAGCTCTGTCTTAAGCACCTTGTAAAGTAAAACAAAACCTATCACTGAACATTTTATTTGTCTAAAGTGAGAAGATGGTTCATAAATAAACCCAGTAAGATCATAGTTTTCTCATTGTTTTAACCCCATTGTGCCAAAACAGGACTAATCAATTGTAGCTAGGAGAATTTGTTAGATTTCCACCTATTTTCTAAATCCTGAAATTGCTTCAAGACAATGTGGCCTACTGTTTGCTAATGGGAAATAAGAAAGTAATCATGTATATTGAAAACCATGTGGACCCTTTGAACTTGCTGCATTTATGACCTTTTACAAACTTCTTATGGGAATACAAATATCCTGTCACTTTGGTTTTGGCTTGATTGGAATTGAAATCTCATTGGTGGGGAGAGGGAAGGAAAAATGCAATAAAGTCTCCTGGATTGATGTTAAACCACTGACATTTTAAAAAGAACCATGCTGGCAGTTGCCAGTCTATTGTTATGAGCTACAGTGAAGCATAAACTCCACAGTGAAGGTCACAGTGCTGGAAGCAAAGATGTGAACATTTTAGCATCACTTTTTTGGTGGTGGTGTTTGTATTCAATACTTATTTTTTGCTCCTCACCTATTTTCTAAAGATAACAGCCTGCAGAAACTTGTTAAAATACACTATCAGAGTATTTATATTCCTGAGGACAAACATCAAGCACTAAAGTTTCCTATGAAACCTGTGTCTAAGCTACAGTGAGACTGAGTAGTCTGCAAGTGTCTTTCTCACATCAGGGGGTGGGAGATATATATGAACAGGGCTGCCATTACCATTATTTGGAATCACCTGGAAAACTAATCTCTCTGGCAACAGCAAAATAGGTCCCCTTGATTGTGGGGGGGGGGGGGAAACTTGAGTCTCTAATGAGAAAAAGCCCATAATACAAATCTAAGAAAGGAAAGGGACTCCAAGGAACAGGACCTCTTTCTGACTTTTGGGAGAATGATGGGTGAGGATGGATTAGATTAGAAGAGATATTACAGGGATGGGCAAACCCAGAGACAGATGGATCCGGGATTTCACATTAAGACAAAAAAAGTGACCACCATATAAGCTCTGGGCATGGGCAATAACTGGGGAAAACTTTACAGTTTTATCCTTTTTTAAAGGGTGGCCTACAATGTTTTTTTTCTTTAGTGAGTTAACACCAAACAGCAGAATGATCTGTTAAACCACAAGCCTCCTGAGCCAGTCATTTGAAAGTATTTTGAATATTTAGATAATGGAGTTGCTGGCTATTAAAAAGTGGGGTGGGAGGAGGAGAAATGACCTTAAATGTCATCAGCTACAGATTACTGGTGTCTTTTATGGGATTTCTTAGGTTTCTATAAAACATGGTCTAGCATCAGCAAAGGCAAATAATTCACATTAATCGTCCTCATAATTCTAAATGTCTTTTTAAAAGGCCAGATACTCAGCTTGTGTTAATCAGCATAGAATAAGGATGAAAGCGCTAGGGTCCAATTGAAGTCTCATATGGTCCTATAGAAATTATTCTCAAAACTGTTTTCTATATGTTTTTGAACCACTTGTAGAATTATACAGCAATGATGTAATTTTCTATTGAAATCTAATGGTTGATTCAAAAAAAATAAAATTCTATGGAAATGCTATAGGATGTTTCTATAAAAGCAAGTCATTTCCATTTACTGGTAAAATAGTTATATTATAGTCACCTTTATATTAATATTCACCTACCAGTCAAGAGCACTGTGAGGTTCAACTAATAATTGCGAAGTGATTCCTTACATGGAAAGTACTATGGGGCCCTGATCGAGCAAAGTACCTAAACACATGCTTCACTTTAAGCATGTAAGAGGGTTTCACTGGGATTTGTTTGAGTGGATCCCACTGAAGAATCTGTGACTAAATGTGCAGTATATGTTTGTGGCTTCTTGCTCCAAGGAATGGCATTCTAGGCTTTCATCGCCTGCGTGTTGTAGACATACACAGGTAAATGATGGATTCCAGGTTCTGGCAAGCCTATTTAGTGTCAGGGCCCAATCAATAGCTAACGCCAAAACTTGTTAACACCATAGAAGCACAGTGATGTGCATAAAATGTTTGCGCCTCAGATAAGTATATAATAGTATTGTTATTGTTTAGTATTAGACCAAAGCATAAAGAGATTTATCCTTACCCTAGATTAATAATTGTGAAAAATGATACTTGAGTCCACGTTTCCTGTTCTAATTGTATGGATTGATAACATAACTAGAGCACTCAGTTGTTACATATAAAATCAGATTGGCCAGGTGGGATACAAACAGAATATCCCTGGAGGGCTGTTTTTAATCCAAGGGACACTACCAATACAAAAAGACATTCCAAATTGTGTCTGCTACTAATAACGTTAGACATGTGGGATCATGTTGAGTCCATCAAATCTTTCAGCACAAACCAGACAGGCAGGTTTGATTTCCTGCCATTCTGCCCACCAGCCAGCCAGCTGAAGGAAAGGCAGACTGATGGGCAGTCCAGTTTCCAGGACTGTCCATCCAGTGACCAGGCAGGCTACCTGTTCACCAGCCACCCAGCCAATTTGCTGACACCAGCCAGGAAACTGACTTGCCAGCTCAGAAATTTTCCAAAAATTCCGTTTCAGTTTTTCCAAAATGAATTTTTTCAAAATTGTTTGTTCCACAGAAAATTTTGTATATCTGACTTTTTGTACCAATTCAGAAAGGAAGAAGTTTCAGAAATCTGAAATAGCCCACAGGACAGAAATTCCAATTTCTGCACTGCTCTAGTGATTAAATGAAGACATGGATGGACAGTGATGTCACTCAATGAAATTCAGAACAAGATTAGATTAGATTTTGGAAGTGCATCTCACACTTATTTAACCATGTCTCTCTCCACATAGCTTAGACAAATACCAAACTACCATGTGATTATAACACACAGTGTACGCCCAACCCTGCAGCCTTTACTCACGGAAACTTTTTGTTTTTATTTTGAAGTCTGCCAGAGAGAGGTTCCAGTCCTGTGAACCTTTTTCTCTCTATGCTACAAATGATCTGTATTTTAAATGAAAATGCATTGACTTGATGAATCTAGACTGTTCTCAGTCGTACCTGATGACAGAACAAGGAGTAGTGGTCTCAAGTTGCAGTGGGAGAGGTTTAGGTTGGATATTACGAAAAACTTTTTCACTAGGAGGGTGGTGAAGCACTGAAATGGGTTACCTAGGGACCTACCTCTACATTCCTTAGAGGTTTTTAAGGTGAGGCTTGACAAAGCCCTGGCTGGGATGATTTAGTTGGGATTGGTCCTGCTTTGAGCAGGGGGGTTGGACTAGATGACCTTCCAACCCTAAGATTCTATGATTCTATGACTAAAAACAGTGTTATTAAAGAAGGGACAAATCTGTTGAATATGGAAAAGCTGGTGGTAACTAGGAAATCAACTCCGCTCATGGAGCAAGCACTCCAAGAAAACGCTTGGACGTTGAACAATGTGCTAACAGTGCAAAATTATTTATTGCTGTTCCAATGAAGTAATTTTAAAGTTACTTTTAGTCAGTGACTAAAATCTTTAAAAAGCTGTGGTAATAGTTAGAGTGCCAAGGAGACTACATTGCATAAAAAATGTTGATGTTACCTGTATAATCGATATTCTCCAGCCAAACAAATTCAGTTTGCAGGGCTGTAAATGTATGAACGTATAGAGTCACACTTCGGATTCACTGGGAAGGGTCAGTTAAATTAATGATTTGGTGTTTCTCTCATGCCGATATGCATATATGAAGCATAATAAAATAAAAATAATATATATTATCTGATATCGAAGGATCTCAGGATGCTTTATGTTAACTTACAAGCATCACAACACTTAACATCTAATAAGCTTCTCACTATCCACGCAGAGGTGACCAAAGGCTATTGAAAGGTCACATTCCCTCTCACAGAAATGCAGTCACTGCTGAGGTGGAACACAGGATACGAAATAGGAAGTGAAACTGAATACAGTGAAGCCTGCAGGAAGCTTCCTATACACTAAGCTTTTGTACTAACAACTTTCTCAGAGTTGCTATGATTGAATCAGTGATACCAACAATGTAGAAGCTAGGGTACACAAAGCTCTGATGGCTGCCACTGCCGGGTGTCAGCTACTGTATCTTCAAGATCTGCTCTGAGCAGGGTTAGATGGCACCATGGTTGAAACCCTGCCAGCCACGGAGTCCTGTCTATAGCAGCTCTCCCACTCATGCTACCAAGGCTGAAGATTAACTAGCTGTAGCACCAGTGGGAATTTTGGCAAAAGAAGCCTTGTGTGCATCACCTTTTTAAGACAAACTTCTGTCTTAAAAGAGCCTGTATATTGAAAGATTTCAGAGTGGTAGCCGTGTTAGTCTGTATCAGCAAAAACAACGAAGAGTCCTTGTGGTACCTTAGAGACCAAATAAATGTGTTCGTCTCAAAGGTGCCACAAGGACTCCTTGTTGTTTTTATATATTGACTATATTGAACTTGTTCCACCTTTATTAAAAGTGATGACCAGGGTTTTTTTCAGTTCCTTTTGTGGTCACTTCACACAGCTTTTAAATTATTCTTTCCAGCTGGAAATGCAGGGCAAATTTGAGTACACAGAATGCAATTTCTGAGGATCAGTTTGAGTGGATCCTTGCTCTTTCCAAAAAAAAGTCATGGCACCTGTAATGAGCACAGGTGCCCAGACAATCAGTTTCACCTCTCATATGAAAGACAACACCTTCAGCAGCACAGTGCACCAAACCACTATTGAGTATTGATTAATCGCTAACACAAAAGGAAGAGTGCCGCCAGCTGAATTCCCAAAGCAGCTTTCTGCAGCACCTAGATATTATGCAGCCGATGCAGTGAGCTGTAGCTCACGGAAGCTCATGCTCAAATAAATTGGTTAGTCTCTAAGGTGCCACAAGTCCTCCTTTTCTTTTTACGGACACAGACTAGCACGGCTGCTACCCTGAAACTAGATATTCCTTGGGAGTTTCCCATTCTGACCAAACCCACCATGAAAGATTAGAGAGGTAGCGGTACTAAACTGTATTCAAACCACCATGGCCTCTGCCAATCACAGAGATACAAAGGTGCTTCATGCTTTAAGAAAACCCTACTGGTTAGTTATGAGTTAGTAGTGTGTCCTCTATATCGTTTCTTGCACTGGTTGACTACTGTCCTCACAACTCACACACACACAGCAACCGTAGCCACCTCGCCTTCTCTTGTCATCCAGGTAGCAGAGGGAAAACTTCTGGCTGACAAATATTTAATCAGAAATATCAGTATAATATTAACATGGGGATGCTCCCATTAACTCAGTAATTATAACTGGCTCCTCAAGTAAAAAACTCCAGGCCCCAAGTGTTTATTATCCAAAGATATGGTTGTGGTTGAATTGAGAGAGCACTCTGAGGCTATTTGCCACAGTCTCCCACCATTTCATGGAAATGGAAGTTTATTGATTAGTACCAATGCTGAAAATTTGAGGCTGCAAATGCAAAATAAAAATATTTAAGGTAACTTTTATTAACTCAATAGATGGATAGTCATCTATTCAGTTAATAAACAAGGAAGGATTAAATAATTTAAGTTTAATGTCTCTAAGAAATAAGCTTTCCTGTAATTGCTTTGCCAACACCTTCTATTTCAGTTTGTAGCAAATTTTCAGTGCCAATTGAAAAGCTCCCTGGAAGTGGGCTTTCTAATGAAGATTGTGCATGATAGCACTTGTATGGATGACCATATAAGGTTGACTAGCACTGGAAAATGCAGCAGATTGAGGTAAGTGGTGTGTGTTATAATTTCTTTAGCAAAATAATTATACAACCCACAGCACTACAGAGAAGAGGAGGAGGGGACAAATAGAGTCTCTGCCTGGGAAGAGGTAGAGGGTGGAATTCCTTGTCTTCCATCACTCACCCCTCTTCCAAACACATCCCCCGCTCCTCCTAGTTCCTCGGGGAATCGCATGAACCAGAACACGACTAATTCCAGAGAAACTCTGGCCCTGCACTTTATTATGAGTATCCGGCGTCGGCTAGAGCCCGAGACTCTGATCCTGTCATTCTCCTCCGCCGAGGCTGGGCTCTGTAGACTTGCACACTCGTGACACGCCGGTGGGTCGGCGCTGTGGGAAGAGCAGCTGGGACTAGTTCCCTGCGAGCTGCCCGGCCAGCCCCGGAGTTAATGAAGCGCCCGCGCCGATCTGGGTCTCCGGGTCAGTCCCTTGCCCCTCCATCGTTATTTCACTTCCCAGGGGGTAACCCCCTAGCTGGGTTTGCGGCAGGGGCGTTTCTCTGCCCCTGTCCCGGGCAGCTGGCCGAGGAGGCGAGGCGAGGCGAGGCTCGCTCCGCCGAGTCTGTTGGCAGCTTGGCCCAGCTGCTGCAGGGGGCGAGGGGCGGCTCCGCGCCGCCCGGGACCCGCGGTCCCCCCGCGCCCGGCGGCAGCTCTGCCCAGGCCAGCCGCCGGAGGGGGCGGACGCGGGGAGGGTCTGTCTCCCTAGATGAGGGCAGGAAACACCCCCTCCCGCCCGGGGGCCCAACCGGAAACCTGCCTTGCTCTGAATCAACGAGCCTGTGTCTCCCCGGCCCCCGGCTCCGGGCGCGGCACCTGCTCGCGGCACCCGTGCGGACGCCGGGACCCCGCAGCGCTGTCGGGCGCCGCTCGCTCTGCCCGTGCGCCCCGGACCCGCCTGGGTCACAGCTGCTGGCTCCGCCGGGCGCTTCGGCTGCTTGTTCGCCCCGCCGAGCTTTCCCCGCCATGGGGCAGCAGCCGCGCCGGGCCGGCAGTGGGCGAGGCGGCGGGAGCCCCCGGTAAGCGGGGGAGACCGGGGGTTGCGGAGGCTGCGGGCTGCCCAGCAGCGGTGCCCGGGGAGAGAGACCGGCTGCACGCCGGGGCGGAGGGTGATTCCTGCCCACGGCCGTTCGCGGCGGGCTGGGTGTTAATCCTGGCCGGGCAGGGAGCTTGGCCGGCCTGGTGAACAGCCATCCAGATGCTGTTAACGTCAAGTCCAGCTGTTCTGGGGGCCCGGCCGTGCCCGCTAGTCACAGGCGAGCTGCCCGGCTCGGGTCGCTCCGCACTGGGGGGCTCCCGGCGCCGATCGGGAACGCGCCGCTGTGGGAGTGACGGGGGGAGGTGGATTGAATCCTGCAGCCCCCAGCCCGAGCCCGGCGCCCGCGCTCCAAGCGCGGAACCGGACCCGAAGGCTCTGGGGAGGAGGGGTGGGGGGCCGGGCAAAGGGATCCGGGTTTTGTCCTGCCTTCTTGGGGAAACTGTCAGCACAAACTGAGGGCGCTTTTCGCTGCGCTGCTTGATTGCAGGGAAGGGAGCACAACCCCAGCGGTCTAATGCGCTTTGTGTGTTCGGGGCTGCATTAGGCGGGGACGTCAGATCCTGAAATTCCCTCTCATAGGTCGAACCGCGCGTTGGTGTGAGAGTGGCGGGGGGGAAGCCTGTGGTTTGGTTCCCGGGCCGGAGCGCACGTCGCGCCACAAGCAAACGGCGGATCCGGACCTGCCAAAGCGCCTCCCGGCTGGAGCCATCACCATCGCCGGCAGAGCCACCCGGGGCCACAAACAGGAAAGTATCGATTGCTCCCCAGATTTCGAGTGAAGCGAATAATCCCCTGCCGCCTCCTTAGACCTTCCTTGAGAATCCGAGACCAGACTTGCCATTGTGATGGGTCTTGGAGCGGAGCTCAGGGTCCTTCCCCTGCTTCTGGACGGCAAAAAATCCTGTTCAACGCAAGGAAGTTGAATCGCGCTTAGCGTTGGGTAGAATCCAGCGGGGGGAGATACCCGGGACAAGACTGATCGTTTCATCCTCAGGAACTACCCTTCCTCCCGGCAGCACCTTTGATCAGCCGGCTGTGGATGTTATACTTGCTTCCAGATTTACTTATTTTTTAAAAGTTAGCTTGGTGGCTGTTTGCTTTTTTTTTTCTTTTTTTCTTTCTTTCTTTTTTTTTTTTTGGAAAGAGTCGTACCCCTGGACTAGTGTCGGAGACGCGGCTTCCCTTTGCAATGGGATTGCAGATTTCTTAGCTGTGTTGTGGTCGCGCTAAGTTCTCGACTTGCCCTCCACCCTCAAGTTTCCATATATGAAATGGGAAATCGAGGGCTGTTCGGCGCCCTTTGTTACCTGATGTTCAATGCACCCCTGCTGTTCATAGTGAACGGTAAGTCGCAAACTTTCGCAATCTTCCCATAGCGAATCGCCACCCCAAACCCAGCTTGTTAGAAAGGGAGCCGGTAGAAGAGCGCGGGGCGAAGTCTAAGGTGGCCGGGAAGAGCTCGGGGGACCGTGTGTTTGACTCGGTAAAACGTTATTCTACTTCTGTTCCCAGCAGATAACAACCTGTGTTATATTATCAGATCCGATCAATCAAATCCTTGTTCCTGTCACCGATCACTGTTGAGCGCAATAGACGTAACGGGCTTGCACCTTTGTGTTGTAAGAACTTTACTGTTTGTGCAGCGTACGTGGTGGGGGGGTGGGTTATACAGAAGAGGAAAAGGAGGTGAGGCGAGGGCAATTCAGGTGGTCACTGGGGGGTAGTTCTCTGAAGCCGGGAGGCACAGGGCACGCGGCAGGGTCTGCAGCCTGCCTGCGCCGGGCTGCAAGCGCTAGCGGGCTGTTTGGAGGAGAGCGATCTGAAACGTGCAGAGGTGTTGGCTGTCGATTTGTGTGGCAGATTTTCGGCCCAGGGAATCTGAACATCGGTTTCCTCCTTTTCCGAGAGGCGCTTTACTCTCAAACACTCCCCAGGCTGGCGTGGATGCACCGGTAGGAGAGGAGGGAGAACCGAGCTCGGTCTTCAGCCCTGAAAGGCGGGACGCTCTTTTACCCGACAGCGTTTAGCCCTCGAGTGAAAGCAGATCAGATTACGACGAACCGGACTGATTTTGTCTCTTAATCTCTCCTGTTAACCAGCCCTTGTAATTCTATCTTCTCCTCCCAGCTGCATTTACTGAAGTTCCCAAAGATGTGACTGTTAGGGAGGGAGATGATATTGAGATGCCTTGTGCTTTTCGGGCCAGCGGATCCACCTCTTACTCCTTGGAAATCCAGTGGTGGTACCTTAAAGAACCAGCCAGAGAACTTGCCCATGAATTAGCCATCAGTGCCCCCGGCAGCAGAAGCAAGGTAACAAAGTGCCACGGAAACATACATATTCATTAAGTGCAACATACTCAGAGAGTGCTTAAAATAAAGCTAACAGACACTGCCGGTGACAGGAGCGTCCCCTTTTACATCCCGTGAAGTAGGTAGTTATCCCCTGGTATCCTAAACTCTCCCGTGGAATGGAGGAGTGGAGGAGAGACTAGAAATTGGTGATCATGGGCCCCCAAAAATCCGACAGCACGTTGGGGATTGTAAACATGTTGTTCAAGAATGATAAATATCTGTCTCACTGCAAGCCCCATCGTTAAGCTTTAACCGGGTTTACTGTATTACATTACAAAGCGGGGATAAACAGGAGGCAACTGCGAAACTGAGCCAGTCTGAACCGAGCTGGAAATCACTACGAACAAACGCGGGAGCGGTTGATGAAACAAGATGAGCTCCTCTCTGTAGATGATTAACGAGAGCAGATGGAGGAAAGAAGGAGAGGCTCCTAGCTGGAGATCCTGCAGGACAATTCTGCAGATCTATTTACATACTCAAATGAAGTGATTAACAGGCGTTAAGGAAAGCAGGGTAAATCTTGTGTATTCTGTCTCAACCCACAGTCGGCCTCTTGGCTTCAATATAGACTCTAGTCTTAATGTCTAGGCTACGTTTCCCTATCACCCAGTTTATTCTGCAGCCCAGATCTTGGCGCAACACCCTGTATTGGCAGCGTAATGCTGCCCAGTATATAAACCAGGTTAAACAGCAGAGGAGAAGTCTTGAGCAAGCGTTCCAAGGTGTGTCTTTCTAAAGTACACAACATCTGACCTTTTCCTACCACAGAGCCATTAAGCCTGATGATCCTCCCTGAGGAGCCCCTCATGCCTACACCAGGTCCTATCTATATGGCAGGCTTGTTTTCCTGCAAGGCTCCAATATAGATGCAAAGCATAAAGACTCCGAACTAATGTGATGCCGTCTGGCTGTAATGTAAAGTCTGTTGTCAGAGAGGGAAATAAATCGCTTGGATTTAAATGTCTTCTTTAACCTTATATAAAACTGCGAGCTGCTTTTACAATAAATGGTGACAGGGCATGCCCAGAAAATGACTATCTCCTTGGGAGGCGCATTAGAGAGATCAGAAACATCATTTCCTTTTACAGTGAAGTTGATTGTAACAAGGAAATAATTCGATCCAAAAACTGATGAGCTGTATCTGATCTTGTGCTGTTTAGGGACTTCATCCCTGCACTAAAGCAATTCAGAATCTGGCTTCCCCGAGTCATTTCCATGCGCAGCTCTGCACTACCATAGAAAACAACCACTCCTGTCTAAAATAGCTATTTCAAATGTAATCGGTCTTTTTACAATTACCATTGCTCCGTTTATACAAGGAGCAAATATTCTTCTGCAGACATATATCCCTTAGCAACTTTTACTACAGGCATCCAGTAAGCCCACTTACATTTTTCCAAAGCAATCCTGTTCCTTGAGCCCAACTGATTAAATCAAATCCAAATTCTCCCCATAGTCACACACAATCAGTTCAAGTTATGAAAGTTGCACTGAAGATCTGTCTGCCCTACCTCTGTTTAGCTGGGGACTTAGGTGCTTATAATAATGTTAATATGCTTTAGGAGTCTAGTCTAACATGTTTCCTTCTCTGCTTTTTTAGGTAACAAATAAGGATGCAACTAAAATCAGCGTAAGTGCAGATCAAACAGAGTGATGCACAATTTCTGTATGTCCATGCTGGTTTTGTAACACCCCAACACACGATTTCAGCCAGTTTAACCCTCTAGAGCAACAGAAATGGCGGAGCACGGTGGGCATGTGCATATCTTCCTCTCCTTGGTGTGCCATATCGCCATCAAAATGTTACCATCTGTTGCTATTTTAACTGTGGAGTTTTTTACTTGCAAATCCAGGCAAGAGGTATTTGTTTTTTCTCCTCTTCTTTGATCTCACCTGGAAAGTACTGGAGGTCCGGTCAAGTGATAATTCTACTTTTCATGTGGCTGCCTCCACTACTGAAAACCCACTCCCCCCAGCAAGGTCAAATTTCTTTATAGCACATTATATCCAAGTGTTGTTGATTTGGGGCCCGATCCAGTCACTGATTTCACTGGGAGCATGGGCAGGCCCATTTATTTGTTTGGTTTTAATCCCATCACTGTCACTTTTCTACGTCCATCTTTGCAGGCTAGTGGAAGTAAGAAAAGCGTGCTAGGGAAGGTAGGGAGAATCTTGCAGAGATTAAACCCTGCAGTTAGGAGTAGAGATAGGATGAGATCTTTAATTCACTCAGGCTAATAGTCCCACTGAAATTAAAGGCAATCAGTAAAGCCAGCAGAATTTGATCCTTCATCCTGTGTTTATAATGGGGATATCTGAGGGTAGAAGGCACTAGGTAATGGCTAGAGTGTCAGACTTCGGGATGGTGTGGGCAGTCTGGCCATTACATATGAAGGTATTTGGGTATTTTGTGTTGGATTGGGGGTAGGGAGAGATGCCTTAGTTAATGCCTGTATTTTTAGAAGGGAGGGGAAGGTTAGTGGCTGGGTGGTTTATGTTCCACTTTGTAGGGGGTAAGAGAGAGGAAATGCATTGTTTTTAGCAAGTGAGGTGTTGGAGTTGGGAGGATTAAGTGGCTGTGTTTCATTTTGGGGGAAGATTACTACTCAGATTTATTTTTAGAAAGGCAATTGGAGGATTAGTGGCTGACTGTTGGTTTTAGATGGGAGATGCCTTCAGTTTTGGAAGGGGATGAGGGCAGGATTAGTGGCTTTTTAACAATAAATGTAGAAAGAAGATGACACGTTTAATGTATGAACCTTGGGAAGAGGGAGGGACAGGATTAGTGGCTGGTGATTTGAGTGCTGTGAAGAGGTGCATTCAGTTTGGAAAAGAAGAACTGGAATTGGTGGCTGGGTTTTGGACTTTGATGGGGGAAATGCAGTGCTTACAGTATTTATGGAAGATAATGGGGTAGGAGCAATGGTTGTGTTTGATTTCTGGGAGGGGAGGAAAGAGATGCATTTACTTTCGGAGCTCAGGGTGTATGAGTGCCATGGGTGGGTGCACTGTTGAGTCGTTGTTCGGAAGTGGTGGATTCCGTAGTTTGGTGCTTGACTAGAGTTATGCATCATTTACTGCATTTAATTTTGGAAGGGCTGGGATAGGTTCAGTGACTTGGTAATTTGGGAGAGGGAGTCATTTATTTTAAGGAGGAGCTGAAAGGTTGGATTACAGAAGGAGAGAGATTTGATTTTGGAGAGCAGCTGGGGTGGTCTCAGATGCTACGTGTTTGCTTATTGGAGGGGAGATCCTCCAAATTCTTAGAGGTGATGACGCTGGCTGGAGAGGAGGTGCATTAATTTCTGGGAGGAGCAGGCTTGGGGCTGGGGCAAGAGGAAAAGGTGCATTGGAGCAGACTGGGGGAGGAGATCGGGGAGGTGCATTGGGGTAGGCTCCGGGGCAGAGGTAGATACACTGGGGCAGGCTCCAGGAGGAGATCAGATGGGAGGTGCATTGGGGCAGGCTCGGGGAGGAGATTGAGGGAGGTGCATTGGGGCAAGCTGGGTGCCTGGGGGAGGTGCATTGGGGCAGGCTCGGGGGCAGGGAAAGGTGCATTGGGGCAGGCTCGGGGAGGAGATTGGGAGGAGGTGCATTGGGGCAGGTTTGGGGGCAGAGGGAGGAGCACTGGGGCAGTCTCAGGGAGGCGATAAGGGGGGAGGTGCATTGGGGCAGGCTCGGGGAGGAGATTGGGGGAGGTGCATTGAGGTAGGCTGGGGGGTGGGGCGTGCATTGGGGCAGGCAAGGGGAGGAGATCGGCGGGGAGGTGCATTGGGGCAGGCTCGGGGAGGAGATCAGAGGGGAGGGGGGGGGCAGGTGCATTGGGGCAGGCTCGGGGAGGAGATCAGAGGGGAAGTGCACTGGGGCCGGGGGCAGGTGCATTGGGGCAGGCTCGGGGAGGAGATCAGAGGCGAGCTGCACTGGGGCAGGCTCGGGGAGGAGAATCGGAGGGGGAGGCGCACTGGGGCAGGCTCGGGGAGGAGATCGGAGGGGGGTGCACTGGGGCCGGGGGCAGGTCCATTGGGGTAGGCTCGGGGGGGAGATCAGAGGAGAGGTGCATTGGGGCAGGCTCGGGGAAGAGATCAGAGGGGAGGTGCATTGGGGCAGGCTCGGGGAGGAGATCGGAGGGGAGGTGCACTGGGGCCGGAGGCAGATGCATTGGGGCAGGCTCGGGAAGGAGATTGGGGGAAGTGCATTGAAGTAGGCTGGGGGTTGGGGCGTGCATTGGGGCAGGCAAGGGGAGGAGATCGGAGGGGAGGTGCACTGCGGCCGGGGGCAGGTGCACTGGGGCAGGCTGGGGGAGGAGATCGGAGGGGAGGCGCACTGGGGCAGGCTCGGGGAGGAGCTCGGAGGGGAGTGCATTGGGGCAGGCTTGGGGAGGAGATCAGAGGGGAAGTGCACTGGGGCCGGGGGCAGGTGCATTGGGGCACGCTCGGGGAGGAGATTGGGGGAAGTGCATTGAAGTAGGCTGGGGGTTGGGGCGTGCATTGGGGCAGGCTCGGGGAGGAGATCGGAGGGGAGGTGCACTGCGGCCGGGGGCAGGTGCACTGGGGCAGGCTGGGGGAGGAGATCGGAGGGGAGGCGCACTGGGGCAGGCTCGGGGAGGAGCTCGGAGGGGAGGTGCATTGGGGCAGGCTTGGAGAGGAGATCAGAGGGGAAGTGCACTGGGGCCGGGGGCAGGTGCATTGGGGCACGCTCGGGGAGGAGATCAGAGGCGAGCTGCACTGGGGCAGGCTCGGGGAGGAGATCGGAGGGGAGGTGCACTGGGGCCGGGGGCAGGTGCATTGGGGCAGGCTCGGGGGGGAGGTGCATTGGGGCAGGCTCGGGGAAGAGATCGAAGGGAAGTGCACTTGGGCCGGAGGCAGGTGCATTGGGGCAGGCTCGGGGAGGAGATCGGAGGGGAGGTGCATTGAGGTAGGCTGGGGGGTGGGGCGTGCATTGGGGCAGGCTGGGGGAGGAGATCGGAGGGGAGGTGCATTGAGGTAGGCTGGGGGGTGGGGCGTGCACTGGGGCAGGCTCGGGGAGGAGATCGGAGGGGAGGTGCATTGAGGTAGGCTGGGGGGTGGGGCGTGCATTGGGGCAGGCTGGGGGAGGAGATCGGAGGGGAGGTGCACTGGGGCCGGGGGCAGGTGCATTGGGGTAGGCTCGGAGGGGAGGTGCATTGGGGCAGGCTCGGGGGGGGGGAGATCGGAGGGGAGGTGCATTGGGGCAGACTCGGGGAAGAGATCGAAGGGAAGTGCACTGGGGCCGGAGGCAGGTGCATTGGGGCAGGCTCGGGGAGGAGATTGGGGGAGGTGCATTGAGGTAGGCTGGGGGGTGGGGCGTGCACTGGGGCAGGCTCGGGGAGGAGATCGGAGGGGAGGTGCATTGAGGTAGGCTGGGGGGTTGGGGCGTGCACTGGGGCAGGCTCGGGGAGGAGATTGGGGGAGGTGCATTGAGGTAGGCTGGGGGGTGGGGCGTGCACTGGGGCAGGCTCGGGGAGGTGCATTGAGGTAGGCTGGGGGGTGGGGCGTGCACTGGGGCAGGCTCGGGGAGGAGATCGGAGGGGAGATGCATTGAGGTAGGCTGGGGGGTGGGGCGTGCATTGGGGCAGGCTCGGGGAGGAGATCGGAGGGGAGGCGCACTGGGGCCGGGGGCAGGTGCACTGGGGCAGGCTGGGGGAGGAGATCGGAGGGGAGGCGCCCTGGGGCAGGCTCGGGGGAGGGCCCTGGCACCGGGGCAGGCTGCTGAGCGCCGGCGGGGCTGCGCGGGGCAGTGACCGGCCGCGGGCTGTGGTCTCTTGCAGACGGTGCGGGTCCAGGGCAATGACATCTCGCACCGGCTGCGGCTGTCCGGCGTGCGGCGGCAGGACGAGGGCGTGTACGAGTGCCGGGTGTCGGACTACAGCGACGACGAGACCCAGGAGCACAAAGCCCAGGCGCTGCTGCGGGTCCTGTCGCGCTTCGCCCCGCCCGACATGCAGGCGGCCGAGGCGGTGTCGCACATCCAGAGCAGCGGGCCGCGCAGGTACAGCCCGGCCGGCAGGGCCACCGCCGAGCCCGGCCTGGAGAAGCGCCTGCTGCCGCCCCAGGGGGCCGGGGCCGGGGCCGGGGCCGCCTCCTCGCCCGCCGCTTCCACCACCGCGGCGTCCTCCTCGGCCTCGCCGCCTCCCGGCAAGGCCGCCATCCTCCGCCAGCAGCACGGATCAGGTAGGTGCCCTGCGGGCTCGGGGAGCGCGGTGGGAGCGCAGCGACACCCAGCGGGGCGCGGGCGGAGGTGCAAGGCGCCGAGCGAGGCTCCGTGTTCTGCAGGGAGGAACAACGGGCCCCTGCCATACAGTGAGCCCAGGGGTGTTAGTAGTATTGGGAGGCTCTTCGGGCTCAGCCCCTTCCCCCCCCCCCCTTCTGAGTCAGCGTGGCACCCGGCCAAAATCCTCTAAGCAAAAGGGATTTGGGAGCTAAGAGAACAGGCCTCTAGTGGGGAGCCCTAGAGGAATGGGTTGCAAATGGGGGATTTTGAGGATTAGGGTTTGTTTGTTTGTGGAGTACATAGGTTTCCTTTCCAACTGGTATCAGCAAATTGTATCTGCTAGTAAAGGGAAAAAAGTCCATTACTGGCCCAGGTATTGCACATTCTTTCCGCCTAGTCATTGTAGCTACCAGAGAGTTTCCTGGCCTCCACTATGGATGGTTTTTGTTTTTGTTTTTCGATTGCACATGTAATAAACATTTACCTTTTACTTCAATGGATGTTTCAGTTGTCTTTAAAGGCTTATCATGGATCTATCTTTCCATAGATAAAAGTAGACATAAATTGTATTGAAAGTAATGGATTAAAATGGGGGTGGCAATTGTGTCTGAATTGAAGGACAGACCATTTAATATCCTAATACAACCTTTACATGTGGGAGTGGTAGAATGGACCAAGTGGCAATAAAGCACTTCAGATTCTCTGTCATGGCAACATTATAAATAGTTTAAAATTGTTGCCTTTATTAAAATATATTAGTGCAGACCAGCAGTAGAAAGAAAGGTAATTAAGGGAGTAAAAACTAAGGTTCCAATTCTGCAAATAGTTAAGTATGTGAGTAAATTTATTTATATATTTAAGTGTTGAAAGGATCAAGTTTTAAGGCTCAATCCTGCACTATTTTAAAGTCAGTGAGTGTTTTGTGGGGAACTCCACTGGGAGTAGGATAGAAACCAGAGCTTTTTATGGAGGTATAAACTATACAATGTTACATTTTCAAAGTAATTTTCTACATCTGTGCTTTTTCTTTTGTTTCGGTTTTGAGTGGTAACAACATTCATAAAGTAAACTGTTACAATTTTTCTATAGAGGTCTTAAAGCCTCAATGCTACATGTTGACCTCTATGGGCAAGCCCTTGATCCCACATAGAACGGTATGCAGAATTCGGACAGAAGAAAGCTAAATGTCAGCTGCTGTACAATGATTCTATATTTTAGCTTTTAGCATTCAAAGTGATTATATTACCATTTCTTTTAACAAAACTTGTAAATGCAAACCCTGAGAAGCCTTTCTAAGCTAAGTTAATTTCTTTCATCACAGTAATTATTACTGTATTATGGCTCAATCCTGCTCCCATTGAGGTCAGTTGTAAAATTCCATTTACTTTAATGGTAGCAGGATCTGGCCCTTTTTGTTCTGCATTGTGAAGACTGTCAAGATATTCAGCATTATTCTGGCTGTGTTTGGTTCATGTGTTGGCCACTATCTTTTACATAATGTAGAGCAAGTAATCATGCCTCTATATATGGAAGATGACATATGGATAGTTGAGCATGCTCAGAAAAAGAATTGAGGTTACCTCACAGGAGAGGGCTTTTGGAGCGAGACTCATCTTTAAATGGAAATATACACCTTTCTTTATTCCCATTTACGCTCTTGCATCAAATATTTACAGGCTTTGGATCAGATAATTGAAACCAGGCATGTCAGCTGTTACTATCCAGGAACTGTATGTAGCTCACAGATAAACTGTCTTCTGTGATTTTTACCTATCTCTGTTCTTTGCACAGTCAATCATCATCCTGTGAAATCTGGGTTTTGTTTTGTACCATCTGAAAGAGTATTGTGTACTGTTTTGTTGACTAGTCACTTGGGCTAGTGAGGATGGCATGCCATCTGTCTAATAGTGACTTTTCAAGACAAATGAAAAAGTTCTGTCTTAAACCTTTTTGTGTGCACTATTGGTTGTAGATACTCCCATGGCTGACAGTGACACCAGGGAATTACACTAGAACAACAGAATACCTGTGAGCCATTCTTTTCCATTAAACATGTAGATTGTCATTTTAGCAGCCAAAATTGGCTTTGCATGTTGTTTTCACGTCTTCCCCTTCCCCCTGTTGATCTAAGTTTAACAGATATGTGGAGGATTAAAAAGTCTTGTGATGCCAGTGTTTCATTATTGACACAAGGAAGGGTCTTGCTATATAAAGGAGGTCTCATTTAGGATATGTATTGTTATGCAACCTGCCCATCTAAGTCAACACTTGCATAATTCATAAGCCCTGATAAAACAGTCTGCTCAAACTGTAATTGGCACAGTGCCGCCTTAACAGATGTGCATGAGTGCGTGCAGCCAAGAGAGCACGTTAGCAGTGTCTGTTAGGGCAAGATCTGCTGCCTAGATTATCTAAATTGCTGTCTAGCCTGATTTTTACATGCCTGTTGTTAGGGGATGTGTCACTGCTACATCATTCCTAGACTGGATTAATTTCCAAAAATAAAACACAACTGCTGCAGCCAGATATGGAGATACTGGGCTCATTTAAATCAAGTGAAAGATGGTGGAATGCAGAAAAGCATCTTGTAGTCCTGTCAGGGAGAGTCTCCATTTGGACACCCTTACAAAATAGGCTAAACCAAGATTTGCTGTTGTGACATCCTCTTTGCACAGGCTAGCATCAATGAACACTGCCACACAATGGCATACAAGTTGGTTACCTTTCAGGAAGAAAGTTGAGGTGGTTCTGTAGAGCTTGGGTAGTTGCTAGTTGTCATAGTGCTTATTTAATAAGGTGTGCAGGAGCCATTACTTGTGTCTACCTGCAGATAATACATTGTGTTTTATATTCTGTGCTTGTGTCTTGTGACGATAATGGGCTTTTCCTCCACTTGACTCAAGAGTCATTTTTACTTTGGTCTGTTACCGTTTCCATAGTTTTGCACAGGTAGGATCAGCGTAGAATTATTCTGATAATAAAATGTCGGTATGGGAAGGAGATCCACTATACCGCTCAAGGGATTAGTAACATGAAGATTTGGACCACCAAGTTGCTCTTTCTAATGCATTCCAGATTGATAGTGACTGAAAGTTATTGCCATCTGATGGCTATTTGGTGGCCTTTGTGAAACAAACTGGTGGTTGCTGTCCAGATTCTAGGGAACTGGTGTCCGCATCCTAAAAACTACAGTTGCAGCTGATGCCATTTTTGCTGTAGAGAGACGCAGATTTGAATGGAGCGGTCCCTCCTTCTCAGAACTAAGGCACAGGGGCAAGGTGCTTTAGGGGAAGGTGACATGACCAGTACTAGTGTTTTGCCCATTTTTGTGGAAAAATAGAAAAGTCTTCACTCTAGGGCTCTTACTTGGACATGCGCTTGCACAAACACTAACATCTCTTTAAATGTGTTGAAAGAAACAGTCAGCATCACCCTGCAAGGCGTCTAATAATTAATATTTTAATGGCTGGGGTTTAGGAGATATTTTGACTGAGGTAGTTAGGCTTTTTTCATAAATAATGGCTTCTCTTTCTTTGTCTTGCTCTCAGAAAAGAAGCCTTATTTTGAGTTGACCCACTCATGGCAGTTTCTTGTTTAGCTCTTCACTGAATAGGGCTGACAGTCCAAGTCAAACCTCTACAATCAGAGGTGAATGAGCCCATAAGACACTAAATCCTGTGCTGGCTTACAGAGGCTCAGTATGAGTCAATAGCTGTGGAAATACAGGGTATCTGTAGCACCAGTGGGAAAAGCATCTGACAACTCACGTTGCTAGGCTCTAACTCCCCATGCACACTGCAGATTTGACTGAAGGTATGTGGTAGCTTTTCACAAGGGAAACTAGAAGAGGAGAGTGAGTATGCATCCCACAAAGAAGGGCTGTTCCATATGCAGAAGTACAAATGCTCTAGGTACCATTGATTGTTGGTGTAGGAGCTGAGCAGCAGTAACTGGAGATCTATTTGCCTGCATTCCTGCCTGAGCTAAATTCCAAAATGAATAGCTAAACCCAAAGTTAGCGAGAGGGTATGTAAAGTTTTACACTATGACCTTGCCACCTCATTTCTACACAGCTCTAGATCTGAAGCTGCTGAGTGATGCAATAGGCAATGCATCCAGAAGGGCTGTGCATATCTTTTTGTTTGGGAAGCCTTCTCACTGTGCCCCTACTACCTTCTTGTCCAACTACACACTTGCCTTTCTGGCGCTCCAGTCTGTTCAGCATTCAGTGTGCTGTGGGATATCTTGTTAGCATAGTAGTAATCCCAATTTATTGGAGAATGCGAGATTGGGACCCTTAATGGGTAAGACAGCAGGTGAGGATATGGCATAACATGGTAGAAGCATCAAGAGGCAGTAGAGGAAGTGTACAGACCATCAAGAAAGGTGTGAACTGAATAAAAGGAAACTGCACAGGGAAGGGAGCAAATCCCACTAAATATGAACTCAATAAGACATCTGTTAAAAGTGGTAATATAGGTCACTGCCTTGCAAACCCTATTGCCCGAGTGGATCCATGGGCTTTCATGCAACTACTCATCTAAGTAAGGGTTCCCATTACTGGGCCCATATTAATAACCTGTAAAGCAATAATTAATTATCAATACATGCTTCTTAAATAAAATGTTATTGACCAAACATACTGAATGGATTTTGATGGAAAGTAGTCCATTTACCATAAATAATACAGTACCTATTGTAGAAAATATTTTAAAACAAGAAAAACATGCGTGGTCACGGTTGGCTGTGTGGGAATATTGCCCTTTATTAAAGGAAATGCAAAGTGTGACAGTTGAGTGGCAGAAGTCAATCCTTCCATTGTAGCATTAACTATCTGTCCCACATATCTATTCCGTTTAGAAAAATTACACACCGTCTTATGTTGTTCTGGGTTTTGTAAAACACACTGATGGCACTATATAAATCATGTATGCCCAGTTATTTGCACTTTAAAAATGTG